AACAAAAAGGAGTTGAAATTATCCTGGTTTCTATTGATTCTTTTTAGAGATAGCTTCTAGTATTCAGGTCATTTTCTCCTTTTCTGTGTGAAAGGAACCATGAAAGTAGGGGACCATTTGAGTAGGTGTTAAAGGGTATCAGCCCCAGATTGCAATTATTTTTTTTGTCAGGGCATGTAAACAATACTGTGTTTATCAAACTCACATTAAATATAAGCTGGAAATGGACTATTAACTTTGAGATTTTTAGGCAATCTCTGATTGTTACATATTATGGGGTCTTTGATCTGAATACTGAAACATCCTTAATGATTTTTTTTTTAAGTTTATTTTGAGAAAGACAGAGCACAAGCAGGGGAGGGGCAAAGAGAGAGACAGAAAGAGAGAGAGAGAGAGAGAGAGAGAATCCCAGACTCTGCAAAGCAAGTGCAGAGCCTAAGGTGGGGCTCGAACTCACAAAACTGTGAGATCATGATCTGAGAAGAAATCAAGAGTCGGATGCTTAATAGACTGAGCCACCCAGGTGCTCCTGAAGAGTGAAACATCTTTAAGGGGGCAAATGTCAAAGGAAAGAATCCCTACCCTGTATTCTCTGATCACGGAGGAATCTGGGTAGCAACATTCTGGTTTACCAATCAGAGGTGTAATGCAAACTCAGACCCTCCAGGGAGGACTTGTATACACCCATGAAGAGTGGAAAGGAGTGAGAGAGTATGCAATAGTAATACTTTGTAGTTTTTTGTCATAAAACAAACAAACCAACCAACCAACCTTGGGTGCCTGGGTGGATCAACCATTTAAGCATCAGACTTTGGCTTGGGTCATGATCTCATGGTTTGTGAGTTCGAGCCCCAAGCCCGGTTCTCTGCTGAACCTGCTTCAGATACTCCCTCTCCCACTTTCTGGCCTTCCCCGCTTATATGCATGTGCTCTCTCTCACTCTCTCTCTCTCTCAAAAAAAACCCCCAAAATATTTAATAATAGAGGCAGAGAGAGAGAGCACAAGGCTGGGGAGAGGGGCAGAGGGAGAGGGAGAATCTTAAGCAGGTTCCATGCTCAGTGCAGAGCCCAGCCTGGGGCTTGATCCCATGACTGTGGGATCATGACCTGAGAGGAAATCAAGATTCTGACGTTCAACTAACTGAGCCACCCAGGTGCCCCATAATAAAATAAAATGTTAATTAAAAGAATTTTTAGTGATGAGAATACCCTTGTGCTTATGTTTTTAAAAAAGTCCTTATCTTTTTTTATTTATTTTTTTAGAGAGAGAGCATGTGTGCATGCAAATAGGAGGGGGGCAAAGGAAGAGGGAGAGAGAGAATCTCAAGCAGCCTCCATGCCCAGCACAGAACCTGACAAAAGGCTTGATCCCACAACCATGAGACCTAAGCAGAAATCAAGAGTCAGCCACTTAACTGGTGGAGCCACCCAGGCACCCCAAAAAACTCCTTATTTTTTAGAGCTACATGCTGAAGTATTTACAGATGAAATGTCAAGTATTTCCTTCAAAATACTTGGGGAGGAGGGGGAAGTAAGGAAGCAGATACATGGAATCAAGATTAACTATGAATTGAAGCTGGGTGATAAACCAGAAGAGTTCATTATACTATTATTTTTGTTTATGCTTATATCTTATTTTTATTTTCCTTTGTTTTAAAGTTTATTTATTTTGAGACAGAGAGAGTGAACAGGTAGGGGAGGGGCAGAGAGAGAGGGAGAAAAAGAGAACCCCAGGCAGACTCTGCATTGTCAGTGCAAAGCCCGAGTCTGGGCTTGAACCCATGAACCATGAGATCATGACTTGAGCCAAAGTCAGATGCTTAACTGACTGAGCCACTCAGGCACCCCTGATTTTATTTTCTTAATAAAAGTAAAAAAAAATTAATCTTTGAAATACAGACTACATATATTTCTTGACCTATGGTCAGGATGATTTGCTATGATGTGAGGAGTAAAATAATTAAGGCTCTGAAAAAGGTAAGCAGGTAAGAGCTGGACTCTAGTCAGGATAGGCAACAGTAAAAGTGGGAAACTAGGAATATACCTGGATGATGAATATAGACGTATGTTAGCTAGGGAGACTAACTAACCATATATGGAGATGTTGGGTGCTAGAGTGGTGTTCAAGTCAGCCAGACACTGATCCCCAGGAATGAGGAAAAGCCGAGGGTAGAGGACTATGCCCTCCACTTAAAATCATGTAGGGAGCCCATGAAAGCCAGCCATGGACAGCCAGTCTTGTGTCTCAGATATTCATATAAGCTGTCTTTTTGTCATCCTCTCTATCCATTATTTCTTTCTGTTTTTCTCCCTTTGTTAATTCCTACTCTTCTTTATGATCTGTTAGGACATTGTTCTCGGGATCATTTACCCTACTTTGACTCAGGACCAAGAACCTTGTGCCAGTCCTTGACCCTGCTAGTCCAGCTGTGTTTGGCCTGTAGGCCTAGCGAAGAGAATTGGATAAAGAATATGCTGAGTAACTCCCAAAGACTCTAGAGGAGGCCATTCTGATAATGCTGACACAGAGTCCACAGCCAGATAAGATACCAGAGTGAGGCACAAAAAGAGTGTGCTAACGCTCCCCGTGGAGAGTGGGACACACCGGGTCATTTAGATATCGTATGAATAATGCAGATGTAGTGTTTGTGGATATCATTCTTACTTAAAACTCTTTCTAGAAGAATTCCGGGCCTTCAAATCCCATGTTTTCAAAAATGAAATGATGAGTAAGGGGCTGGAACCAAGTAAGTTGCCAGTATACAACGTGTGGATTATACATTGGGAAGTAGAGATCAGGATCAGATTTTCACGCTATGGAGGCGATCCTAGGGAATACAGAGTTAACTTATTTTGATTGGGAAGATAAAGAGCTAAGAATTTACCAGTTTCTCCTCCATACTCAAGTATGAAATCACCAAAGCTGAGACTGGTTCTAGGTTCCTACATCTATAAAGGATCAACTGAAACCATGATACTATAAGGATTATAACAATTATGTTGTTATTGAGCTCTCCAATTCCCCTCCCACGTTTTAGACTCAAATATTTACATGTTAAAAATTAAAATGAACTTATTTCAGTTCTGGGCACATAAGATTGCAGTTGAGAAGGTCGCTGGATCAAGGACTTTCAGATCCAAGAAAAGCTCCTGAAACAGAAAATTGGGCCTAAAATATACAAGTTCATTCATGAAATTAAAAAAAATGTTTACTTCCTAAGAGGGAGAGAGAGAGAGTATGAGCAGGGGAGGGACAGAGAGAGAGAGAGAGACAGACAGACAGACAGACGAGAGAGAATCTGAAGCAGGCTCCAGGCTCTGAGCTCTCAGCACAGAGTCTGATGCAGGGCTCGAACTCACCAACCTCTTGATCATGACCTGAGCCAAAGTCCGATGCTTAACCCACTGAGACACCCAGGTGCCTCCCATTCATGAAATTTAAAGGTAGACAATGGCAATGAAAATCTGCTATAAACCTATAGGGCAGTTAAAATAATGAAAAAATTTAAAGAAAATCCCACATCGCAAATTCAGAAAAATCTGTCAAATAAATGGAAGAGATACACTGGCTTCTTCCATTTTTTATTTCTGTGGTTGCAAAAAACCAAGAAGAAAAAAACTGTCTCTCTGTGTTAATGAAGTCTACCTATTAAGACATCTTGTTTACATTAAATACTTTTAAACTATTAATTAATATGCCTTGAGAAAGGAAGGACAAGTCCACAAGTTCAAGTACTAGTTCCTTTAACAACTTCTGTCCAGATTGTCAAAGAGTGGTTTCCATTGGACTCAAACGTACTTCAGACTATTACTAAGTAAGCCTTATTTCTACTGCTATGCATTTCTACAGAATCAATTCGTACTGCTAATGTGGTTAGGAAAATAGTTTCTGCCATTGGCTGCAAAATGGAAACTATCCGTATAAACAATAAACTTCAGAAGTAAACGGCAACAGGGCGCTCATGACCGAGCGTTTCAGCAAAAGTGCAGATTGAATCAAGAAAGTAATTCTCCGGAAAAGATCATTATATACGTGAATACTCATCAGATATACACAATATTACCAGTTCTAATTATGACCTGCCATGAAATCTGTGAAATCATTCGCCATTTACTTTTATTTTTTGCCAGGAGGTAAAAAACGTTTCAAACCACTTGCTTCTCCCTGAAAAACTAATCGTTATTCTTTCCAATAGTAACTTCCAAGTGTTGTCAAAAATGTTTTGCTAAATTTGCATAAAGGCGAAAGGACTTTGCGTGCATCGGTGTCGCTACGGAGCCTAGACTTAGGCGGCAGGAGAGAACTGACGGAACAAACGATTTCCACATTCGGAGTCCCCGTCCCGAAATCTCGGCCGACGCAGCGACACGGAGTGAGGCCAAGGTCTCTCCCGGGGCGCTGCAGCCGGAAAAGGACTTCGGGAAGCGCCAGTCGGCGGGTCTCTATCTGGTCTCAGAGGCGCCCCTGGTCCTGCGTGAACATTTCAATTCTCACCCCGAGAAGGAAAACTTCTCATCCAGAGACGTGTGTCCCGTTCAGCATTCTTCTTCCAGGACTGAGGGACTCGGCGTCACTTTCCCCGTTTTTGAGAAACCCTAGAGGAGCAGCCGCCACCTGCCCCAGGCCAGGGCGATGAAGCTACACCACAGAGAGACTCCGAGCCCTGCAAGGAGCGTAGCAGAGCAGCGCCCTGGGCCCTTCCTTGACTCGCAGCTCCTTTTCAGCTGCGGAATCCGCGCAGCGCACGCGGAGGAGGGCGTCCAGCGGGGCTAGCCCGGGACCTCGCGACCCGCGGGGGTCGCGGCGGGAGGTGGGGGGAGGGGAGCCGTGACCGCGCGGCCTCAGCCCTCCCCGGGGGCGGGACACTAGCGCCGCCCCGCCCCCGCGGCCTCCCTTCTCCACCCCTCCCCCCACGCCCTTTTCCACCCACCCCCGCAGTAGGAAAGGGAGAGGGAGGGGGAAAAGCAAAGTGCTGTTCTGTGGAAAAGGGCGGAAGGAGGGGGAGAAAAAAAGAAAAGGGAACAGAAACATGGCCGTCAGCTGTCGGGGCGGCACTGCAGCCGGCAGCTCCTAGGCGACCCGCCGCCCGCACGGCCGGCCTCCAGACAGCCCAAGCGCCCGCGCGGGCTCGCGCTCCCGGCCGTTATCGCTGCATGCGGCGCCCCTCGAGACCGAGCCCGTCAGGCGGCGCAGGCGCAGATCGGGCCGTGGCGGCGGCGGCCGCGGGAGCGAGTCCCCCCGCCCGGCTGTGCCGAGGGCGCGCAGGCCGCGTAGCCGGCGCTTTCATGCCCCAGGAAGGGGCTGTGTTTGGGTGGCACTGAAGGTGGAGCAGGCGGCAGGTGAGTGTGCGGCGGAGGGCCTTTCGCGGACCAGCCCTGCGCGGCGCCTGCGCTCGGCCTCGCGCTCCGGGGTGAGAGGGCGCCGGACGGATAGCAGCTCCGAGGGTTGAGTTCCGATGGCCCGCCTGCGGGGGTAGCCAAGGAGGCGGAAAGTGGCTGGGGCTGGCATTCCCGGCCTAGTTTCTCCGCGGTTTCCGGGGGCGGGGAGTCCCCAGAGCCTGCGGGGTGTGATGATGGGGGAGAGGCCGCGCGGGGACTGGCCTCCCCGCGCCGCCCGTCCAGGCTCCAGAGAAGCACTCGCAGGACGCGAGGGGTCTGGGCCACGGGGACCTCCGGGGCGAAGGCCGTCTGGGAGGGGGCGGGGATTGGGGCACGGGGCGGGGAGCTAGGGCAGGGGTCTGGAGAAGGGTGGAGAGAGGGCGCGAGGGGAGACCTCGGGGCGCGGGCAGGTGTCGCAGGTGAATGAAGGCATTTCCTCCTCCACATTTACCGTGGCTGAACCTCGGCTGTTCGGAAGGCTGGTTCCATTAAACTCCGAGTGACTAAACACAAATAAAACCAACTAATGAGCCCCTAGTGCTGACTTGTGTAAAGAGCTGTAACTTTTCTACACTGAGGATGCTGTACTGTCTTTACTCTTTAGACGCTTCATGAACCTTTTCCCTCCCAAAGACCGTCTCATCTTAACAAATAAGGAATGACCCAGTTTTTAAGTAGTACCCCCCGCCCCATCCCATTATGTATGGGTTTTTTTTTTTTTTCCCCACACGGGAAAATTTAGAGCAGTTACCGAAGTCATTTGTGCAAATGTGAGGGTTAAGTCTCATCTCCAGTAATGAACTCTTGGCTGTGTGTGTGTGTATTTTTTTTTTTTTTTTTTTTTTTGGCCTAAGAGAGATTGCTAAACGTTGTAATCTGGGAATTTGATTTACTGAGATTGTTTAATTGTGTGCAAACTCGTGTTAAGTCGTTTTCCCTAGACTCCAGTTTACGTAGAGATAGATCTTCCCGTCCGGTTTGGAAGGTGAAGGGTATAGTATAAGATGGAGAAGAATTTTAGTGCTAAGACGCCAAGTTTTCAATAAGTATTTGCTTTGAGGCTATCGTGTGTATTAAGCTACCTGAAATGAAGAGCATTATTTATGATGATCTGTGTACACATAAGAGCAAAATCACTATCAAAAGGAAAACTTTATCTCTGAGCGTTAAAGAATGTCCCACGGTTCTTGATTAAAAAAAAAAAAAAAGCCCTGATATTTTATTTTCTGCCCTGCTATTTGTATTACTGTTAAAAAGTTGGTAAACTGTTTTGGTGTGAGACTGGGGACTCAGAAGTAAATTTCGATCATGTATTCATGATCTATCTGCCTCATATAGGCTTGCTTTGACTCGTTTTTCTAGTAATGGCAAACTCCTTCCACACTTTGCCCTGCATTGATATCTCCTGTGGCCATTTTGCAAGATAGTTGATTTTTTTGTATTACAGATTTTAGTGAACTGTTAATATGCCAATTGACTTTGGCCATGGTACCTCACTTGGTGTAATTACTGTTTTAGACTTGTTAATCTGGATAATAGAAAAGCGATGATGTTAGAAATGTTGAAGTTGTATCTTGGAGTAATTTACTCTTGCATAATTTGTAAATGAGAGCATTCTGTTGTTGAGAGTAAACATAGTATTTTGTAGTATAAACTTGAGTTTTCAAGCTGAAGAAATTGGCAGTAGAGCTGGTGTGTGGAGAGTGTTCTTAAAACACAAGTGTTTTAAATTACAAGGAACTGCACTGATGTGTAGGCTGTAAAAATTCACAGTGCTAGACTTAGGTTATTTGGTTGAGGTGCTCTCTATAAAGAAACATGTTAAGTATCTTCAATAAAAGCTAATTTGTAGCTATACCCAAGGGATATTTGCATGATAAAGATACATAAAGAGCAAAGGTATCTTTCAGTTGTGACCAGAACATCTCATATTTTTCTGGAGTTTCCCGCCAGGACAGTTACTGATTTTGCATTGGCTTTGCTTGCTGCTCCGTTTGAAAGTTAGGTTTCAGTCTTAGCCTTGTAGCTAATGTACAGGTGGTAAAGAAAAAGAAAGCTGCTGAGTCAGAGGCAGGTTGTCTCTAGTTGGTCTTTCTGATTTGCAGAAGGGAATTTCTGTTAGAATGTCAATTTCCAATATAGTATGCTTGCTGAAATTTGGTTAGTGAGAGCCACTAAGCTTTCCTAATACATGAATAAAAATGTTATCTTCTCTCAGCTGGTGCCATGAGTTTTCTCTGCCCTTGCAGATTGTCCATTTGACAGACTTCTAAGTAAATGGGATGCCTGGTTGGGATGGGAGATTCCTTTGTAAGGGTTAACAATTGGGGAAAATTTTACATAGGATAGCTGGTGTAAAAGTGTAGGTTTAGCATGAGATTGTAGGAAATTCCAAAATCAGATATTTTATTATTTGAAATTTAAAACAGTATTTTTTGGGCGAGAAATTAGGTAGTTTATAAACTTAAAACTTTTTCTACTTAGGGCAGCACATAATATGTATAAATAAGTGTAATAGAGCTTAATGTGCTGCTTGAAAACTTTTTATTGGAAAGGAATATAACGCGATTAAAGGAAATTCTAAAGGAAAAAATATTGATTCTCACGTATCTTATATTTTTCTGTATTCTTATTCTACTTGTATAATACATTAATCAGTAAAATATACTAATCCTGTCTATACTTGTGAATGAGTCTGTGGGTAATATTCATATAATTGTCTTTTTAAACATTGCACGTTTTTCTCGGGTGCTGCATATTACTGTTATCTTATGGTTTTGTAATAGTCGAAAGTTACTGTTTCACAGTGGATTTAACTATTTCTCTGTCTTTTAACATTTTAGTAATTCCACTTTATTGCTCTTAAAATGATGTGATAATGAAATCATTTTGCTAATATGGTCCAAACCAAATTACTTTTTAAAACTTTTGATGAAGTAAGCATTCTTTGAACTGTTTCATTAGTAGTGGATCATTAGGGCTCCTATAATATAGTATTTAATTGAAAACAGAATTAAAGGAAGATGAAAAGCTGTAGATGTGTATGTATGACTTGAATTCATTGAGTAGGTTTCAAAATATAAATTCACAATTCTCCCTATTACTGACTTACTACAAGTTTCTATGTCTACCAGTTTTACTTTTAAAACATAGTAAGTAATATTCTTATAGGAATTTTTTTTTTTTAAGTTTAGTAATTTATTTTGAGAGAGTGTGCAAGCATGCAAGTGGGGGAGGGGCAGAGGGGGAGAGAGAATCCTAAGCAGCTCCATGCTGTCAGTGTAGAGCCCTGACATGAGGCTTGGATCTGTGAACCACAACAACATGACCTGAGCCGAAATGAAGAGTTGGATGCTTATGTGACTGAGCCACCCAGGTGCCCTTCTTATAGGAATTCTTCATTTTTAAAGTAATATTGTGAAAAATAAATAAAAATAAAGAGTATTGTAGGACATAAATGTTTTTCAGTGTATCTTATTTCAACCAAACCTAATATTTACAAATCTAGATTTATAATCTTTTGACTTATAGAAGAGTAATTTTGTAGGATTTTAAGTCTTTGAAATATTTTAAGTGATTCCTTGAATCTAGTTTTTTATTGTGTACATGAAGTTCATATCTATCTTAATTTAGGGATGCTTAGATCCTAAAAGCATACATGTTATGAGTCTCTTTTTAATTATGGAAAAAAGAATCTATTAAATATGTACTGTGCTATCTGCTAGGGATAAAGATGAATAATAGTCTAAATATTGAAGGCTGAGGAGCACCTGGGTGGCTCAGTCGGTTAAGCATCAGACTTCAGCGTAGGTCATGACCTCGCCTTTGTGTTTTAGTCCTGTGTTGGACTCTCTGTTGACAGCTCAGAGCCTGGAGCCTGCTTTGGATTCTCTCTCTCTCTCTCTCTCTCTCTCTCTCTGTCTCTCTCTCTGCCCCTCCCCTGCTCACAGTCTGCCTTTCTTTCTCTCTCAAAAATAAACATTAAAAAAATTTTTTTAAATAATAAAGGCCAGTAAGATAAACAGTCTTATAAATATATACCATAGCTACAACATACCATATCCAGAATAGAGCAAACTTCTCTATAGGAGAAGAGGGAAGTCCCTAAACTGAAGGCCCTAAACTGTGTTGAAGATGGTAAATTTACATAGAAGGAGACATTTGATTTAAAACTCAAAGAATGATATGAAAAGGTACAGAGTAATGAAAACATGGTGGATTTTATTAAAATACAAGTAATGTAGTGTGAGAGCACAGGTAGTTTTGGAGGGAAGTGGGGCGTAAGCTGCAGGGGAGAGCAGGGGCTGTCATGAAGGGTCATAAAAGTCAAATAAGAAATGGAGACTATACCTTGTGGGGAACAGGAAACTAATGATTTTAGGCTGTTAAATATGTTTGGCTGAATTGTGTGAAGGATGGATTTGGGAAAGCAGCTTGAGTGAGGCTGCAGGTTCGTTAGTCAGATCTTGAGGGCATCCAGGTGAGAACTGAGAACAGCAGATGGTAGGGATGGAAGACAGTGAATAAATTGAGAACTATTATGTGACATCTACATCTCCCTGTGGCTTGGAAGCCTTGTCTCCAGGCATATCTTCTCCTTGTCCAGTGTGGCCCTGCCACGCCAGCCAACTGTTAGGTTCTTTCTCTTAGAGCCCTTGTATTCCATTTACATGTTTTTCTGAACCAGCTTTCCTGATCACGCTGTTTAGGGAGAAAAGTTACTATCATACCATCCAGTTATTTTACTCTGTAGAGTTTCTTTTCTTTCCTTCCTTCATATTTGTTCCCCTTACTAGTTTGGAGGTTATATATGATCTGACTCCTTTTTATTTTTTGTAAGTGTGGGTCTATTTCTAGTCTCCTTTTCTGTTCTCTTGGCTTATATATATATATATATATATATATATATATTTTAATGTTTATTTATTTTGCGAGAGACAGCATGTACATGCCAGCAGGGG